CTTTGGTGAGTATTATGTTACTGAGGACTTAGTTTAACCTTCCGTTGTTGTGTATTATGTTACTGAGGACTTAGTTTAACCTACCATTGGTGTGTATTATGTTACTGACGACTTAGTTTAACCTACCTTTGATGTGTATTATGTTACTGAGGACTTAGTTTAAACTAACATTTATGTGTATTATGTTACTAAGAACTTAGTTTAACCTACCATTGGTGTGTATTATGTTACTGAGGGCTTAGTTTAGCCTACCTGTGGTGTGTATTATGTTACTGAGGACTTAGTTTAGCCTACCTTTGGTTTGTATTATGTTACTGAGGACTCAGTTTAACCTACCATTGGCGTGTATTATGTTACTGAGGACTTAGTTTAACCTACCATTGGTGTGTATTATGTTACTGAGGACTTAGTTTAACCTACCGTTGATGTGTATTATGTTACTGAGGACTTAGTTTAAACTAACATTTATGTGTATTATGTTACTAAGAACTTAGTTTAACCTACCATTGGTGTGTATTATGTTACTGAGGACTTAGTTTAACCCACTATTGGCGTGTATTATGTTACTGAGGACTTAGTTTAACCTACCATTAGTGTGTATTATGTTACTGAGGACTTAGTTTAACCTACCATTAGTGTGTATTATGTTACCTGAGGACTTAGTTTAACCTACCATTGGTGTGTATTATGTTACTGAGGACTTAGTTTAACCTACCATTGGTGTGTATTATGTTACTGAGGACTTAGTTTAGCCTACCATTTATGTGTATTATATTACTGAGGACTTAGTTTAACCTACCATTGGTGTGTATTATGTTACTGAGGACTTAGTTTAACCTACCTTTGGTGTGTATTATGTTACTGAGGACTTAGTTTAACCTACCATTAGTGTGTATTATGTTACTGAGGACTTAGTTTAACCTACCTTTGGTGTGTATTATGTTACTGAGGACTTAGTTTAACCTACCTTTGGTGTGTATTATGTTACTGAAGACTTAGTTTAACCTACCTTTGGTGTGTATTATGTTACTGAGGACTTAGGGTTTAACCTACCATTGGTGTGTATTTTGTTACTGAGGACTTAGTTTAACCTACCTTTGGTGTGTATTATGTTACTGAGGACTTAGTTTAACCTACCTTTGGTGTGTATTATGTTACTGAGGACTTAGTTTAACCTATCTTTGGTGTGTATTATGTTACTGAGGACTTAGTTT